CCCAGATGAGAGACAACCTATTGTGCTCTCTCTCTCTCTCTCTCTCTCTCTCTCTCTCTCGCTCTCTCGCTCTCTCTCTCTCTCTCTCTCTCTCTCTCTCTCTGAACCAGGAGGTCATCGTTCAATTCCCAGTCTGGGCACATGCCCAGATTGCAGGTTTAATCCCAGTTGGGAGCGTGCAGGAGGCAACCAATCAATGATTCTCTCTCATCAGTGATATTTTTATCTCCCTCTCCCTTCCTCTCTGAAATCAATAAAAATATATTTTAAAATAAATCAATAATGAAGGACTTGTATGCATGCATATAAGCATAACCACTGGACGAAAAACTCTGGGGAGGGAGGGCATGTATGGGAGGGAAGGGCAATGGTAAGATATGTACACATATAATACCTTAATGAAAAAAAATATGCAAAAATAAATTAATTTTAAAAAATAAATCAATAAAATAAATTTAAAAAACATGTCCTCAGGTGAGGATTACAAAAATAGAAGAACAAAGGGGCCCGCCCAGGCTGGCCGAGCTGGCAGAGCCACTGAGCGGAGGGGCAGGGGGCTGGCCCCGGGCAGGGGGCTGGCGCCAGGCAGCCGGGCAGGGATTGGCAGGGATCCACCGGGTGGGCGCAGGGACCTGGGCAGGAGGGGCGGGTGGGTGCAATAGGCAGGTGTGGAGGGGGAGGCCTCACTCCCTGACCCTGGGGTCCAGGGCAGAGGGGCGCCCCTCACCCTTGGGGAAGAGGTCCCCCTAACTCCCGCCAGGGCTGAGCCCCTGCCCCAGGGAGTCCAGGCAGTGCAGCCAGCTCCGAGGCCTCCTGTCTGAGGCCCTCTTGTTGTCCACAGGGCTCCTGGGGACGGGAAGTGTCACATTTCACGATGGAAAAAGCCAGCGTGTGTGAGACTCTGGATTCTCCATTAGATCCCGGCTCCTGAAGCCAGGCAACGAGGCGGGCAGGGGTGCTAGGTTTCAGGCTTCTTTTTGGGGTTTCTGCTTCCAAATCACCATAGCAATGACCTCTAACCTCTACAGAACACTTTGGGCTCCCAGACTCTGTGCTGAGCCTTTGCACAATCTAAGTCCCCTCCCCCTACCGTGGGGAGCCCAGACGGAAAGCAGGTGGGCGGGGCTGGTGCTGGGAAACTGAAAGCCCAGGGTGACCCAGCGGGGGCCCAGAGCTCTGACCCTGCCTGCGGGGAGCCGGAAAAGACGCAACACGCACCCTGGCCGGTGTTGCTCAGTGGATAGTGTTGGCATGTGGACCCAAGGGTCCCGGGTTTGATTCCGGTCAAGGGCATGTACCTTGGTTGTGGGCTTGTACCTTGGTTGTGGGCACAACCCCAGTGGGAGATGTGCAGGGGGCAGCTGATCGATGTTTCTCTTTCATCGATGTTTCTGACTCTATCCCTCTCTCTTCCTCTCTGTAAAAAAAAATCAATAAAATATATTTTAAAAATAAACAAAAATCAATGGAAAAAATATCCGCGGGTGAGGATTTAAAAAGTAATAATAAAATGAATTAACTAAAAAAGAAAAAAGGCTCACCACGTGACAGGAGCTGGGGCCAGGGCCCACATGAGGCCTGACACCCAGCTCTGGGTCCTGCCGACCTGCTGCCCAAAGTCCAACCTGGTTTCCCCGAAGAATGGCCCAGGATCCAGGCCAGCGAGATAAGCAGGACAGAGGAGAGGAGTGGCAGACAGATAGCGGCGAGCTGCCTCCGCCTCTACATGCCTGTGTCCCCATCGGCAAAATGAGAGTAATCACCGCCAACGTGCTCCCTCCTCCGGACACTCCCACGCGGGTTAAAGGAGAGTAATAACCACAGAACGCACCCTCCTCCAGACGCTCCCACACGGGTTAAAGGAGCTGATGGCCGCTGGCCACTGGGCTCCATGCAGCCTTGTGCCAGGGAAGCTCCCTTGAGAGGGGTGAGGGCAGGTTCCGGGGTCCGGGGCAGAGCGGAGCCCCTCCTGAGAGGCTGAGCCAGGGTGGGGCGTGCAGACCCCTCTCTGGGCCCTCAGAGAAGCTGAGAGCTCAGGCTGGGTTTCCTGGGCCCTGGCCTATGTCCCCTGTCCCCGCAGTGCCAGCCCAGGCGTGTGGTCTGGTCTCAGGCTTGTCAGGACACCCCGTCGTCTGCTCTCAGGGAAGCTTCTCCCCCAGCTCACGCCAGGCTGATGTGACAGGGTCAGGCAGAGGGGCAGGAGATGGAGAGTCTAGCAGCCGCAGGTCTCCTCCTGACACATACACATCCAGCCAGGCCTGCCTGACCCGGGGACTGTTTCTGAGCCCTGCACAGTGCAGGCAGGACCCCCGCCCAAACCCAGGGTCTCCTGGGCCCTTCCCTCTCACATCACGGCCTGCAGGGACAGGCAGGAGCTTGGGAGGAAGCCAGAAGCTCTGCAAAAGGGAGAAAGGGCCATGGGGGGAAGAGGGGGAGGGGTCTGCACTCTCCTCAACTCTATGAAAATTTGCTTGTTTAGGTGCTTTAAAAAACAACAACAAAAAAACAAAAAAAAACATTTTATTGATTTCAGAGAGGAAGGGAGAGGAATAGAGAGATAGAAACATCAATGATGAGAGAGAATCATTGATCGGCTGCCTTCTGCACGCCCCCTACTGGGGATCGAGCCCACAACCCTGGCATGTGGCCTTGGCCGGAATCGAACCTGAGACCCTTCAGTCTGCAGGCCGATGCTTTATCCACTGAGCCAAACAAACCAGCAAAGGCAAAGGAGCTGTTTTGGATGCTTCTTTGTGGAAGGTATTTTTCTGCCCCCAACACTGGTCTTGGGGATCGCCAGGGACAGGGTTATGTTTCCTCCCTCAGGCTCTCCACTTTCAACCAGCTGTGGCAACCTCAGACCAGGAGTTTATAAACCTTCCAGAGCCTCAGTCTTCCTATCTGCAAAATGGGGCTGATAATTTCTTAGTTCCCAAAAGGCTCTCAATGGAGCAAGAGATGCACAGAGCCTCAACTTGAGAGCAGTTTGACAACAGCCCCATGCCTGGGCCCTGCTGTCCCTTCTCCATCAGTGAACGGTTATGACCTATGAGGTCGCTGGGTGGTCTCAGCGACACCCTGCTGTGGGGGCCAGCTGCCTTGTGTCTGCTCTGCCCCTCCCATCCCCTGCTGGAGTACAGGGCACCGGAAGCCTTGCCACTGATTTGGTCCCTCCCTGACTCCCCTCCCTTCCTCGGAGGGGGCTACGTTTCTCGCATGAGATGGTCTCAGATGGAAGAAGTTACAAAAACAGAAGCAGAGACCCTGGCTGGTTTGGCTCAGTGGATAGAGCATCGGCGGGATGACTGAAGAGTCCTAGGTTCGATTCTGGTCAAGGGGACCTACCCTGGTTTTGCAGGCTCAATCCCTGGCCCTGATTGGGGAGCATACAGGAGGCAACCAATTGATGTGTCTCTCTCACATCGATGTTTCTCTCAGTCTCTCCCCCTCCCTTCCACTCTAAAAATCAATGAAAAAATATCCTCAGGTGAGGATTAACAACAACAACGACAAAAAAAAAACAAAACAAACAAAAAAAAACAAACCCACAGAAAAACAGAAGCAGAGGAACTGCCAGCAGAGGCCCAGAGTTTGTAGCTCCCAGCCAGTGAGAGGACCCTGGCCACAGGCCCTTTGCACACACCACCAGCCCAGCCCTGTGCTCAACACCTCCCTTGCTGGATTTTTTCCCCCACTCACTGGATTTTTTGACCTGTCTTACTGCCTGGCTGGTATACTCCAGGAAAGAGGGCAGCATGTGCCAGAGAAGGCTTTATGGGCCAGGCATCGAGCTGAACTCTCATCCATGGGATCCCTGGAAGAGATCTGGGAGGGAGGTAGTGTAGCCCCAGTTTTACAGGCCAGGACACCAGGCCTCATGGCGATCACACAACCGACTTCACCGGAGATACGTGGCCCGGGCAAGCGGGGCTCAAAGGAACACTCCAGAACCGGTCCACGGGTCTGCTAACCTACCACCCCGCCCCCTCCAGCTCCCAGGTTCCCCAGGAGGGTGGGCCCGGGGAACAGAGGATCACGGGAGGGGTGGCCAGTTCAGATCTGCCTCCGTGGGACTGCCACGATCTCCCTATGCCCTCCTGGCGGCTCTCCGATGCCCAGCAGGCAGCCCCGGAGGAGGCTACCCATTCAGGATAGCGGGGCCCACGCCAACATCCCCTCTGCCTTGGGGATGTGGAAGGAACACTAGACGCGGAGTCCAGGGGACCTGGGAGCAGCCACTGTCATCGCACCTATGGGGCCTGTGCCCCCATGTGCACAGTGGGGAGAGGAAGACACACACACACACACACACACACCGGCAGGCGCAGGGCAGACAGACCTTGGAGAATGCAGCTGGAAGTGCCAGCAGCTCTGCAGCGGGACCCACCCCCCACACACACCCCACCGACACCCCCACCCCCACCCCAGCCACCTCTCCAGGTGGCCGCTCATCCCCCTGAGCTCTTGGCCAGCGGGGCTCTGCAACCGGACGCCACTGAGTGCTCATCTTGGCTCCCAAGCCCACAAGCTGCCTAACCTCTGGGCAAGTGAATCCACTCTGGAGCCTCAGTTTGCCCAGCTGGAAAATGGGGATAGGGGAAGGATGCACAGCTGAGGGCTGCCATCAGGCTTAACGGACGCGGGGCCTGGAGTAAGTGCCCCATCAATAGGAGCCGCTGTCATTAGGAACGCCGTTATTTGTCTCTCCGGTGGGTGCCGGACGGACCGGACTTCCCTCCCAGATGTGGGGACCAACCAGCCCGAGACGGGAAGTGATTTTCCCAAGTCGCCCGCGAACCAGCGGACCAGCAGCCAGAACCCGGACACCCCCTCCCCACCCCGCCAGCCCAGGCCTCCTGTGGGTACCGGTCCTCACCGAAGCAGCCCCCCCAGATCAGCCCCAGCCCCCCAGATCAGCCCTCAGCCCCCCAGATCAGCCCTCAGCCCCCCAGATCAGTCCCCAGCCTCCCTCCGGCCCGACCCCCCTGCCGGGCGCTCACCCTCCGGCTTGGCGTCCGCCTTCGCCCTGGCCAGGAGCAGCCAGCCCAGCGGGGCCAGGAGCAGCAGCGGCCGCATCGCCGGGGTCGGGGTCCGGGGGGGATGTCGGTCCGTGAGCCCCGGAGCAGCGGCTGGAAACTTCGGGACGCGGCGGCGGGGCGCTGCCACGCACGGGGCCCGCCCAGGGGGGCGGAGCGCGCCGCCCCCTCCGCTCCGGCGCCCTCCGGGGTTGGGCAGGCGGGGAGGAGGGCTGGGGAGGAGGTTTCCCTGCAGCCGAGCCAGAACTGAAGCCTCTGGGCTGGGGAGGCTCCCTGGGGCCTGTCTGCGCGGCCCCGGGTCCTCCCGCCGCCTGCCCTCCTCCCTCCCGTCTCAGGGCCCCTGTCCGGCCTAAGAGAGGAGGAGGGAGGCGGGAGAGGCATCGATTTGATTTCTACGCCCCCGATGCCGCGCCCAGGCTGGAGGGCATGGGGACTGTGAGCCCGGGGTGGGGGTTCTGCCGGGTCTGGCAGGGTTAACGGCACCGGGACCTGCCGCGCCCCGGAACAGGCCCTGATAAGCCCTCGGCGGGGACTCAGCTCCCAGGATCTCAGGAGTCCTTCCCCGAACCCTGGGGCAGGGGGTGGACCGGGCCCGGGAGGACCGTGTTCAAAGGCGTCCACACCCCGGCCCAGACCCTCCCGGCTGCTGATCACCAGCCCCCAAAGCAGGAAACCCTTTGAGTTCCCTCTCTGTCCCTGGAGGCGGCGGGAGACGGGCCAGTGAGCCAGGCCAAGGAGACTTGGGCGACAGACAGACAGACGGAGAGCGGGACACAGCGGCCGAGAAAAGTACAACAGTTTGTGTTTCAGCCTCCTGGTTCACAGGTTGGCACTCAACCGCTGAGCCACTCCGGCCGGGCAGCACATGTGATTTTATTTTATTTTAATTTTTTAATATATATTTTATTGATTTTAAAAAATATATATTTTATTGATTTTTTTTTTACAGAGAGGAAGGGAAGAGGAATAGAGAGTTAGAAACATCGATGAGAGAGAAAAACAACGGATCAGCTGCCTCCTGCACACTCCCCACTGGGGATGTGCCCGCAACCAAGGTACACGCCCTTGACAGGAATGGAACCTGGGATCCTTGAGTTCGCAGGTCGACTCAAAAATAAAATAAAATCACATGTGCTGCCCTGCCGGATGCTCTATCCATTGAGCCAAACTGGCCAGGCAGCACATGTGATTTTAGAGGTTAAGTACAATCTCTGGGAACCCGCTCGGTCACCTCACAGTAAGGAGGTTTGCTCATTGCACAGATGGCAGGAGCGAGGCCGGAGGGACCCAGCAGCAAGCCCAGGGCACCAAGCAAGGGAAGGGCAGAGGCATGGATGCCATCCAGGGCTTCTCCTGCCCGCCCAGCGGGGACCAGGGCAGGGAGCTTCTGCAGCTGGGCTAGGACCTGGCACCGGAATGCACCGGATGTTTTTGAATTCAGGAGAAGCAGACTGGAATTCCAGAGCCTTGGAGGAGAAAATGGAAGGATGAGCAGAGAGGAAGAGAATGAGCTTATGTCAGCTGGGTTCATTTTCAAAGCTCCATTTCATTCCATGTGCATAGCAGCCCTTCACATCAGGCAGCATTGCCCCCATTGGGGAAATGAGGAACCCATTTAAAGTGACATGATCTACCCTGACTGGTTTGGCTCAATGGATAGAGCATCGGCCTGCGGACTCAAGGGTCCCAGGTTCAATTCCGGTCAAGGGCATGTACCTTGGTTGCTGGCACATCCCCAGTGGGGAGTGTGCAGGAGGCAGCTGATGGATGATTCTCTCTCATCAATGTTTCTAACTCTCTATCTCTCTCCCTTCCTCTCTGTACAAAATCAATAAAATATATATTTAAAAATAGAAATAAAGAAATTAAGTGATCTGCTTGAAGTCACATTGCTGATATGGGACCATAGGAAGGGTGGCAGCTTCAAAACACGGCTCTAACTTCCCGTTGGCTGGGGCCCTAGAAGAACCTCAATGGTGGTGTTCTGTGGACAAAAAAAAACAACAAAACAAAACAAAACAAACAAACAAAAACCCTTGGGCAGTGGGGTTCCCATAGCCCAAGACCCCAGAATCGTTGCAAATCAGGAGGAGGGGGGACCATTTGAAGGCTGCTGGCCTCCCCTGGAGAAAGGATTCACCCTGGACAAGCCTGCCCTCCATACACTGGGTTCCATTTCTTTGCTCCCTTCATCAAATTGCTAGAACTTGAACCCAGTCCAAGCTTCACCCGAAAAGAGGTCCTGTCTCTTTAACCAGGGGTGGCTGCTGCCCAGATGTTACTCCCGCTACGTGCAGCACATGTTGTACACAGTGAAAGGCACAGGACCCTGCTTCCCTGGGAAAGTACAGAAAGGAGAGCTGGCCTGGAGGGCAGTTGTCTGCTGCCATGGGGCTGTGCTCACATTCCTTCTCTCCTTTCATCCACGTCCTTTCTTGTTCTTTCTTGTCCCGAGGACAGTCATACTTTGTGCTGCCAGACAGGCTAGGCAGACCCCTACCCTCTTTACAGCCATCAGCTAATCCCACTCCACTCACCCTTAGCCCCTTTAATAATCCTGTAAAATAAAAGTCTAGCCCTAACCGGTTTGGCTCAGTGGATAGAGTGTCGGTCTGCGGACTGAAAGGTCCCAGGTTCGATTCCGGTCAAGGGCATGTACATTGGTTGCGGGCACATCCCCAGTAGGGGATGTGCAAGAGGCAGCTGGCCGATGTTTCTCTCTCATCAACGTTTCTAGCTCTCTATCTCTCTCCCTTCCTCTCTGTTAAAAGTCAATAAAATATATATTTTTAAAAATCAATAAAATATATTTTTAAAAATAAAATAAAAGGCTAATATGCAAGTCAACCTACCTGCTGAACGACCCATCGCTATGATGCACATTGACCATTAGGGGGCAGACGCTCGATGCAGGAGCTGCCCCCTGGTGGTCAATGCCCTCCCACAGGGGAGTGCTGCTCAGCCAGAAGCCGGGCTCATGTCTGGCCAGTGCAGCGGTGATGGCGGGAGCCTCTCCCACCTCTGCAGCAGGGCTAAGGATGTCTAACTGACAGCTTAGGCCCACTTCTCCCACCCCCAGCGGGCCTAAGCCATCAGTTGGACATCCCCCAAGGGCTCCTGGACTGTAAGAGGGCCCCTTCCCTAAGTGCATAAATTTCATGCACCAGACCTCTAGTAAAAATGATAATAATAAAAGAAATAGAATTTCCAAGCTGTTCCCTAAGTAAAAAAAAAAAAGGAAAAGATACAAGTGAAAATCATATGCTACAATTTCTGTGAAAGAAAAACTTGGTGCTACATGTCTAGATGCCTATATATCTGTAAGCAAATAGAATATCTGGCAGAGTACCCAAGGAACCCGTGGCAGTGGTTGCATCTGCAGAGAGGAACAGATGGCTGGGTGGGGCCCCAGGAGGGAGGAAGACTTAATAGTCGCTCTTCACCCTTTTGCACATGTTGGATCTTGTATCATATATCCTGCTTCCTAGGAAAAGTGAGTAATGAGTGGTTATTTTGAACCAGGCACCATGCCAAATGTTTCCTGTGTTTGTCCATGTAAGCCTCGGAGCAGTCCTATCTCTCATGTTCCCCATTTTATGGATAGAGAAACTGAGGGTTAGGGAAGTTAGTTGACTTGCTAGTGAGGGGTAAAGCCAAGAATGAAAACCCAGGCAGCCTGATGCCACGGTCCTCACTCTTGGCTCCCTGGCTTTGTTGTGGCTGTGGTGCCGACCCTTCCCTGTGAGTCTCCTTCCCTTGGGGTGTTTGAAAGTGGCAAGGGAGTTCCTGAATACGGGGCCTTTCATTTGACTAGGAATCTGCTTCCAGAAATTGCTCCCCCCTAAAAAAAAAAATCATGCAAATGGGCCAAGATATATACCTATTTCATGGATGTTTGTAATTGTAAAAAATAATGACTTTTTATTTTTTTTATTTTTTTAAAATATATTTTTACTGATTTTTTACAGAGAGAAAGGGAGAGAGATAGAGAGCTAGAAACATCAATGAGAGAGAAACATTGACCAGCTGCCTCTTGCACACCCCCTACTGGGGATGTGCCCACAACCAACGTACATGCCCCTGACCGGAATTGAACCTGGGACCTTTCAGTCCGCAGACTGACGCTCTACCACTGAGCCAAACCGGTTTCGGCAAAAATTAATGACTTTTAAAAAATATATATCTTATTGATTTTTCTTACAGAGAGGAAGGGAGATAGAGAGCCAGAAACGTCGATGAGAGAGAAACATCAATCAGCTGCCTCTTGCACACCCCCCACTGGGGATGTGCCCGCAACCAATGTACATGCCCTTGACCGGAATCGAACCTGGGACCTTTCAGTCTGAAGACCGATTCTCTACCGCTAAGCCAAACCGGTTTCAGCAATAATGACATTTTTTAATTGGGTTTCTAATTTAAAATTACTTAGTGTGTGCCATGCACCTTGTTTGCTTTGTCTGTATTAACTTATTAATTTCTCCAAAATGAGAGAGGCAGGGTCTCTGGTCCTTCCCATTCCACAGGCGGGATGCACCTGGTCTGGTATGCTTCCACGTCACTGTGCCTCCCAAGTCCTTCTGCCTCGTCAGGAGGTTGGAGGGACCCTATCGCTCTAGCTACAGGAAATGGATTCCTGCTCGTCCACCAGCCTATTTCCTGGGTTTGTGAACTCCCAGTGGTAATTAAGAATTTTGTTTTTTGGCTCTGCGGGCATGGCTCAGTGGTTCAGTGGAGACCTATGAACCCCACAGGAGGTCTCAGTTCGATTCCTAGTCAGGACACATGCCCCATTGTGGGCTCGGTCCTGTGGGGGATGTGCAGGAGGCAGCTAATCAATCATTCTCTCTCACCATTGATGTCTCTCTCTCTCTTCCTTCCTCTTCCTTCCTCTCTGAAATCAATAAAAATGTGTTTAAAAAGCAGACATTAAAAACAAAAGAGCTGTTTGGCTCAGTGGATAGAGCGTCGGCCTGCGGACTGAAAGGTCCAGGTTCGATTCCAGGCAAGGGCATGTACCTTGGTTGTGAGCACATCTCCAGTAGGGGGTGTGCAAGAGGCAGCTGATCGATGATTCTCTCTCATAGATGTTTCTAACTCTCTATCCCTCTCTCTTCCTCTCTGTGAAAAATCAATAAAATATATTTTTAAAAAAAGCTGAAACTGGTTTGGCTCAATGGATAGAGCGTCGGCCTACGGATTGAAAGGTCCCAGATTCAATTCTGGTCAAGGACATGTACCTTGGTTGCGGGCACATCCCCAGTAGGAGGTGCGCAAGAGGCAGCTGATCAATGATTCTCTCTCATCGATGTTTCTTTCTATCCCTCTCTCTTCCTCTCTGTAAAAAAAAATCAATAAAAATATATTTTTAAAAGGAATTTTGTGTTTGTGTTTTGATAATAACCTTGGAGGGATAAAGGGGCTACTGTACCATCACCCAGACTTGCAACTTGGCAAACGCATCTTTGTCTCCCCACAGCCCACAAGAAGCCACCTCAAATGCCCAGTTAATTTCCAACGACTGGGAAGCACTGTCTGGCTTCGGAATATCCGGACAGCGAAGTGGGAACAATGGCCCCACTGTCTGCCCTTGCTCATATGAATGTTTTCCTCCAGTAACAAAGCTAAATGCCTCTTTTTGCATTGATGGTTCACAATTTAAAGGCCTTTTCAAAGCATGGGACTTTAGTGTCTCATGTTATGTAGTAAGTTAACTCAGGGTTCACATGAAGACGGCTTGGTATGGTGGAGACATGGACAGTCCGGGGCTGGATTTCTGTCCCTTAGATTCTATGTGCTGCCGGGCGGTCTGGATGAGCTGTCAGCAACATGTTTCCCAGAAAGTCTAGTTTAGAGGGGCTACTTCCTTTTCCTTTTCTTTCTTTCTTTCTCTTTCTTTCTTTCTTTCTTTCTTTCGAACTTTCTTTCTTTCTTTCTCTTTCTTTCTTTCTTTTAATATATCTTATTGATTTTTTACATAGAGGAAGAGAAAGGGATAGAGAGTTAGAAACATCGATGAGAGAGAAACATCCATCAGCTGCCTCTTGCACACCCCCTATTGGGGAGGTGCCCACAACCAAGGTACATGCTCCTGACCAGAATCGAACTTGGGACCTTTCAGTCCACAGGCCGATACTGAGCCATACCGGTTTCGGCTCTTTTCCTTTTTTTCCTTTTCTCTTCCTTTCTCTTCTTCCTCTTCTTTTCTTCTCTCTCTCCTTCCCTTTCTCTCTTTTTGTTTTGTTTTATTGCGATGAGGATCGTCATTTTTACATAAAAAAGTTTTATTATTACATTTTTTTTTAGTTTTTTTTATTAAATTATTATCTGTGTACATATTATTATTACATTTAAATCTTAGGTCTGTTGACTCTATCAGTAGCAAAGGGGGCCCAGCATGTGCTGGATTTGGCCCACTACGTGCTTTTTACAAGTTGGTCGGATGCTTCCAGTACTACCCGCCCAATCCCGCTCCCTCCACCCATCCACACCCGGACCCGCGGCTCCCGCCGTCCCCGCCGTGGCCCCGCCCCTTTCCCACCTCCACCCGCGGCTCCCGCCCTTCCCGCTGTGGCCCCGCCCCGTCCCCAAGACCCGCCCCGTCCCCGCCCCCTCATTTCCATGTGTCGCAAAAGACGCGGTGGCGCTTGACGGTGGCGTCGTTTGACGTTCGGAGGCGTCGGAGGAGGAAGAAGAAGGGACGGTGGCGGCTGCCGCAGCGGCTGCGACGCGGTCCGTGGCGGGCCCCGCGGTCCCGGCTGCAGAGTGAGGCGCGCGGGCGGCGGGGCCGGTGGGCGGGGCGGCGGGCCCAGCGGCCCCTCCCGCGCCGCGCCCGCGCCCGGCGGCCCGATGTGGCTGCAGCAGCGGCTCAAGGGGCTGCCGGGGCTGCTGTCGAGCAGCTGGGCCCGCCGCCTGCTCTGCCTGCTCGGCCTCCTGCTGCTGCTCCTGTGGTTCGGCGGCTCCGGGGCGCGGCGCGCGGCGGGCGGCCTGCACCTGCTGCCCTGGGCCCGCGGCCCGCCGGGCGCCGCCGCGCCGTCCGCCTGCCTGGAGGCGGCCACCCGCGCCTGGCGCGGCCTGCGGGAGCGCGGCGAGGCGGTGCCGCCGGGCCGCGGGGTGCCGGCCCTGGTGGCCAACGGCTTCCTGGCCCTGGACGTGGCCGCCAACCGGCTGTGGGTGACGCCCGGCGAGCGGGAGCCCGCCGTGGCGCCGGACTTCGTGCCCCTGGTGCAGCTGCGCCCGCTGAACGCGCTCTCCGAAGCCGGGGAGTCGGTGCTGCTGCTGCGTGAGGGGCTGCTGCGCCGGGTGCGCTGCCTGCAGCTGGGGGCCCCGGGTACCGGCGCCGCCGCCGCCGCCGCCCCCGGACCGGCCTCCGCCTCCGGCCTCGTCACCGGGGCCGCCCGCGACTGCGTGCTGCTGCAGGAGGACTTCCTGGCGCACCGGGGCCGGCCCCACGTCTACCTGCAGCGCATCCAGCTCAGCAACCCCACGGAGCGCGTGGCCACGCTGCAGACGGTGGGGCCCACCGCCAGGCCGCTCCCCAGGGCCTACACCAGCACCCTGGAGAAGGCCGGAGACCATCAGTTCCTTCTCTATTCGGGCCTGTCCCCGCCCCTTCCCAAGGGGCAGGTGCACCTCGTGGTGGTGGCCGCCAAGAAGCTAGTGGACCGGCTCCAGGTGGCTCCCAAGACGCAGCTGGATGAGACGGTGCTGTGGGTGGTGCACATCTCAGGGCCGCTGAACCCGCAGGCGCTCAAAAGCAAAGCCGCCAAGGAGCTCAAGGTGCTGCAGGACTTGGCCCGGAAGGAGATGCTGGAGCTCCTGGAGATGCCCGCCGCCGAGCTGCTCCAGGACCACCAGCGCCTCTGGGCCCAGCTCTTCAGCCCAGGTGAGGCGTGGCAGGTGCTTCTTGGTTCACAGTCCGCACCTCGCTTCTTGGTTCACAGTCCGCACCGGGGTGAGCCTGGCCCACCCTGCAGGTGCCCCTCCGACGTCCGCAGAGGTTAAACTTTGGGTGTGGCCTTTGACCTGGGGCTGACCCTGTTCTATCCCTTAGTGTCCGTGTGACCTGGGCCGGTAGTCTAATCTTTCTGGACTTGTATTCAGTAGTAACAGTAGCACCTGCCTCAGAGGCTTTAATGAGATTCTAACGTAAGAATGAGTGTAATGGCTAAGGTCTTCTTTCTGTCCTTGTAGGTGAGGCCTGATTTGAGCAAAATGGCTTAGAGCAGTGATTCTCAATCTTTCTAATGTCGCAGCCCTTGAATACAGTTCCTCATGTTGTGGTGATCCCCAACCATAAAATTATTTTTGTTGCTATTTCATAACTAATTTGAGAACCGCCAGCATGATTGCTTTAGACCATCGGAAAACACAGATATGTACCTTATGATTCATAACAGTAGCAAAATTACAGTTATGAAGTAGCAAAGAAAATAATTTTATGGTTGGGGGTCACCACAACATGAGGAGCTGTATTAAAGGGTCCAGCATTAAAAAGGTTGAGAATCACGGGCTTAGAGGGTCAATTTGTAAAGGATAAAAATGGCAGGCAGAGGGAGGCCTGGTCAGTCCCCACCCAGATTCTTTCTTCAGTTCCCTGGAGTACGGCTGGTGACCACCAGCACGGGTTTCCTGGTGACCAGCTCCAGGCTGAGGTGCCCGAGCTGAGGGGGCTGCAGTTTTTTCACAAGGAGATAGCGGGACCTCTTTCAGCAGGTGGGATGCTCTGTCAAAGGAAAGCTTCTTCCCCCTGACTGTTGAAGATAAATCCTGCTCTAGATGAGAGAGGTTTTGGTTTGCAGGGTTCTCGTCTGGATCCTTCTATTTAGTTGCCCAAGGAGTCTTTATTTTTTTATTTTTTTTATTTTTTTTTTATTTTTTAAAATATATTTTATTGATTTTGTACAGAGAGGAAGGGAGAGATAGAGAGTTAGAAACATCGATGAGAGAGAGTCATCGATCAGCTGCCTCTTGCACACCCCCCACTGGGGATATGCCCGCAACCAAGATACATGCCCTTGACCGGAATCGAACCCGGGACCCCTCAGTCCCCAAGCCGACGCTCTATCCACTGAGCCAAACTGGCCTCAGCCCAAAGAATCTTTAATTCATTCAATAAGTGTGTGCCTGCCGCTGCCAGGTCTGTCCTCCCGGGAGAAGACAGAATGGGCCGAGCACAGGCCCTGGCTCACGGTGCCTTCTGTGCTCACCGGGCTTGCTCACACTGGATGGGAGGAAGACAAATATTAGAAAATTGAAATTTTGGCCGGGACCAGTTTGGCTCAGCGGTAGAGCGTCGGCCTGCAGACTGAAAGGTCCCAGGTTCGATTCCGGTCAAGGGCATATACTGTGGTTGCGGGCACATCCCCAGTAGGGGGTGTGCAAGAGGCAGCTAATCGATGATTCTCTCTCATCGATGTTTCTAACTCTCTATCCCTCTCTCCTCCTCTCTGTGAAAAAGCAATAAAATATATATTTAAAAAAAAAAAAAAAAAAAAGAAAATTGAAATTTTGAATAGCTAAGAAAGCGTTCTAGAATCAGAAGTGCTAGAGAAAGGTTAAAAGTAGTGATTGAAGGTGACTGAAGGGGGAGGTAAAAGCAGGGGGCAGACTCTGTTTAGCCCCAGGTGTCAGGGAGGCCTCTCTGAGGAGGAAACACTGAAGCTGAGACCTGAATGGCCAGGAAGCCAGCCAGCAGGCCATTGCCCCTGAGGCAGCGGCCAGTTTGGTTGAATGGACAGTGTGGCCCGCAGGGAGTGAGCCTGAGGGGGCTGGTGGGGGTGGGAAAGGTAGTGGGGGGGGGAGGGTCAGACAGGGGAGGCTGGCAGTGGCCAGATCCTAAAAGGTCTTGCAGGCCTTAGTGAGGAGGGTGAATTGTATTGTAAATGGGATGGAAAGCAGGGCAGAGCCACCATCGTGCGCGCTTTTAAAGGTCCCTGTGGCTGCCGTACGCAGAGTATCGACTATATGGGGGCAAAGTGGAGCGTGGGGACCAGATGAGAGAGTGTGGCTGGGCCGGAGCTGTGACTGTGGAGGTGGAAGGGGCCAGACTCTGACACCTTTGGAGGCAGAGCTGCCAGCACTTTCCAGGGACTGGCTGCGGGGAGGAAGAACGCCAAGGTGACCCCTGAGTTTACAGGAAGGGCTTGAGCAGGTGTCTGGGGACAACTTCAGGAAGGATCGGTATGGGGCTGGAAGAATTCAGCCACGTCAGGTTCAAAATGCCTGTCGTCCAGGTGGAGACACCAAGCGGGCTGTTCGCTGGTTGGGTCTAGAGGGGATACATATTTTGGAGATCTTGGTTTCGGGCTTGATCCTCAGTAGGGAGTGTGCAGGGGGCAGCTGATCAGTGTTTCTATCTCTATTCTTCTCCCTTCGTCTCTCTAAAAGCAATAAAAACATAAACAATGTTAACAGCTACAGGCCTGGAGAGAGAGAGAGAGAGAGAGAGAGAGAGAGAGAGAGAGAGAGAGAGAGAGAGGATAGAGTGGAGAAGCCCAGGGCTGGCCAGGGCCTGAGTGACAGTGTCCTGGAGCGGACTTTCTCCTTGACTCCATATGGCTGGGGCCAAGGTCTGGCTCCGTCTGTTCTTTGGGGCTTTGGCAGGAGGCACTGCTGCCTTTTATTTTTATTTTTTAAAATATATTTTATTGATTTTTAAAAATTTCTTTATTGATTAAAGTATCACATATTTATCCTCAACCCCCATTCCAATCCCCCTCCCCCTGATTTTTTTACAGAAAAGGAGGGAGAGGGATAGAGAGGTAGAAACATTTGATGAGAGAGAAACATCGATCAGCTGCCTCCTGCACACTCCCTACTGGGTATGTGCCCGAAACCAAGGTACATGCCCTTGACTGGAAACGATCCTGGGACCTTTCAGTCCGCAGGCCAACGCTCTGTCCACTGAGCCAAACCAGTCAGGGCGGTGTCTTTTAATAAGATTTTAGGTTTGGGGCCCACAGGGCTCAAGTTAGTCATGTGAGGAAGCCAGGCAGGAACACCCTCGGGACAGAAACCTTGTGTCTCTGCTGCCTGCGCTCTCCCTTTCATACCGTGCCATCCTCCGTAACGTGCAGTCTTGGTGGCGTTACAGGTGTGGAAATGAAGAAGATCACGGACGCCCACACCCCATCTGGCCTGACCGTGAACCTGACCCTCTACTACATGCTGTCCTGCTCAACAGCCCCCCTGCTCAGCCCCAGCCTGAGCCACAGGGAGCGGGACCAGATGGAGTCGACGCTCAACTATGAAGATCACTGCTTCAGCGGCCACGCCACCATGCACGCCGAGAACCTCTGGCCCAGCTGGCTGTCCTCCGTCCAGCAGATCCTGCAGCTCTCCGACCTGTGGAAGCTGACGCTGCAGAAGCGCGGCTGCAAGGGGCTGGTGAAGGTGGGCGCCCCCGGCATCCTGCAGGGCATGGTGCTCAGCTTCGGCGGCCTGCAGTTCACCGAGAACCACCTGCAGTTCCAGGCCGACCCGGACGTGCTGCACAACAGCTACGCCCTGCACGGCATCCGCTACAAGAACAACCACATCAGCCTGGCCGTGCTCGAGGACCCCAGGGGCGAGCCGTACCTGCACGTGTCCGTGGACACCCACGGCCAGCCCGTCAAGATCTACGCCTGCGAGGCGGGCTGCCTGGCGGATCCCATGGAGCTGACCTCGGATCCCGAGGGCCTCACCTTCCCGGTCATGGTGACGCAGCCCATCACGCCTCTGCTCTACGTCTCCACCGACCTCACGCACCTGCAGGACCTGCGGCACACGCTGCACCTCAAGGCCATCCTGGCCCACGACGAGCACATGGCCCAGCAGGACCCCGGCCTGCCCTTCCTCTTCTGGTTCAGCGTGGCCTCCCTCATCACCCTCTTCCACCTCTTCCTCTTCAAGCTCATCTACAACGAGTACTGTGGGCCTGGGGCCAAGCCCCTCTTCAGGAGTAAGGTATAGAGCCTGGTGTCGGCAGAGCCAAGGCCAGGCCTTGCATTCCGTCCTGCTCTAGGACGGGGTGAGGCCTGGGCCGTCACGGGGTGCCCTTTCAGCCATGTCCTCAGCCCTTTACTCATAGACAGGAGCGAGTGTGTTTGAAAGGCCAATGAGAAGTGACTTGTGAAAAGGAGACCATAGGAAGGGATAGCTGCGGATGGGTGAGCCCGCCGGCCTCCCAGGGACCTGGGCAGCTGTCCCCCACCCTACCCCACCCCAGATGAATCTCAGCATCTGAAAATAACTGCAGCAAAGCCCTAGATTAACCCGAGGTCTCTCTCTAAGCTGCTGGAGGGACCCCATCTGAACCCGGGCAGCCTGCACTGTGGGCCAGAGGGGGTCATCTGTCAGCTCAGACGAGGCCATTCCCCTCAGTTCCTCACGTGGCTGTGCCCCAGGAAGCCTTGGTTTTGACCCCAGTAGCTGCGGGCTTGTGTCTGGACCATATCTCAGGACATCAGGATTGATGTCTCCGGGGAGGCCACCTCCTGCCCTGTCAGCTGTCATCTGTGCTTTCTCACCTCCAGGCTGTCCTGGGGGAAGACCGGAGGGAATCCGCTGTTGGGAGTCGCAGGAGGAAGTGCTAGAGGGAGCTTGTTGCCTCTGCCCTCCTCCGACTGAGAGTAGAGAGGAAGATGAAGGTCTAGGTCTGGTTCTCAAGTAGCTAAAGAGAAATGCCCCATCACCTCCCCCGGGGGCTTTGTGGCCAGGACTGGGAGGAGGAAGGAGCATTGGGCCTGAAGGAGTGGGAAAAGGGTGGGAGGCAGGTCTGAGCTCCTCAAGCTTGAAGAACAAAGTCAGATCAAAAAGAAATGTGCAGACACCATCCGGGGAGCCTTCTGGGTTTGCATTGTGTGGGTGGCAGCCTCTGTTTTGCCCCAGGCTGCTTTTCCCTGCTCTTAAAGTGGCACACACCTATTCACCGTGGTTTCCCACACAGCCCGGGGGACAAGCCAAACTGCCTTCATGCAGCACTGCCCCATGTCCCTCAGTTACTTGTGCTAGAGCTGGCCACACCGCAGCAGAGCCCAGTGCTCGCTCTGCACCGGCCCCGGCGTCCCCAGACAGCAAATCCATAGCAGTTCCAGCCTGTCCCTGGGCCGGGAGCGGTCAGCGTGCCAGATCAGAGCCCGGCTGGGCGCCACCAGGGCGGTCTCCGTGGCCGCTCCCCGTAGCATTTCTGTAGCTGCCCACAGGGTCGGCGGCGGCGAGCAGTAACAACTTGTTTTGTTAATTGAACAGGAAGATCCCAGTGTCTGAGTGAACCAACATTCCTGCTTTCAGCCACCCATGGCACAAGACACCCAGCACTGACACTCCTGCCGCAGCGAACAAGGGATCCTTTGAAAGCACCCGCCCTTTTGTGCCTTGTTGGGGACAGCAGTGATGCAGAAGCACGTGTGGATGTTCAGGAGTTCGCACTGGGGAGCGGGGGAGGGGGCCGTGGACTTTGTAAGCTTTCCACTCAATAAAATGAACCCACGTGGGAAATACTTGAACTCACTCCTTCCACTTTCCCCCTTTCCTCTGCCCAGGAACTAGACCTCTTTGGAAAAGACTCGTCTAGGAGAAATTGTGGGCTTTTTCCTAATTTAATGTGTTCCTTCTTAACTGGATTTTTAATTTATTGCTGAGATTTTGCTGATGGCTTTTCCTTCCACTGTCGACAGTGATTCTTGGTGGTGGTCTCTGAGCTCGCCGCAGGGCTGGCATCCGGGGCCCCCGTGGCCTGCGTGGAGGGCTCGGGATTCCCTCGGGTTTGCACATGTCCCTTTGGAGATCTGTGTTTTGTATTTCTGTGCTTCAGGGGAAATGTTTAACTTTCTAGTGATTGCTGATTGTTGTTTTTGAAATACCAAAGCTTTCTTTTGTTCCGTTTTTAAATAAATCTCTTTCAAACTTCCGTGGTCCGTTTGTGTGTGGTTGAAACCTCTGGAGACATCCCATCTTTCTCAGTCACCAGACTGGGTGGTGTCTGAAGCAGAAGGGCTGGCCACCTCGCCCCCGCGTGACGATAGGAATTCTTCTCCCTCCTCTCCTCCTCCTCCTTCTCCTCTCAGAGGCATCCACTCAGATGGGGAGGCGGCCACTTCTCTGCTCCCCCGGAGAGTGGGGTCCCTGGGTGGTCCCGCCCCATGGGCTGGTCAAAGCATCACCGGTCCTTTCGCTGCCATAGGCCCTGTCCCCCTACCTGCCCTAAGGAGCCTAGACTTGCCAGCCCAGGCTTCTGCCGGCTGTGTGCTAAAGCTAAGGCCTGACCCTGCCTCTGGGGAGGAGAACGGAGCTGCCGCTGGTCCACCAAGGACAGAGCTGGGCGTGGTGGCCACCTGGGGAGGGTGTGGCCTCCGTGCTGTTTCCAGCAGCCCCTCACCCGGAAGACTGGTTTGCTGGCCAAGGAGCTGAATGGCCAGGAGACGGCCAAGAGACAGAGTAAACAAGCCTCAGCTTTACTACCAGCTGCCCTGGCGGCCCCAGGCCGGGCACCATCCACTCCTGGCGTGGGCAGCACAGAGCTGAGACATACCTCCCATTCCCCAGCCTGGGTCAAGCAGCTTCCAGTTTAATGCGATGGCTAGAGGGCATGTCATACCATCTGCCACACCCAACTGTACCCCGGGAGGTCTCTGCTCCCCAAAATGGGCGAACCAATGACCAGAAATGCATTCCTGTCACATAAGCCCCCTGGCCTATGGTATTACGGGAGCCCACACAGTCTAAGACAAGCATATTCTTCCAGCGAAGGAACAGAACTCCCAGGGATGATAACACCAAGAATCCAGAGTCACAGGACCTTAGATGAGGAGGGAGCCTTAGAGCTTTCTTGTTTGAGTTCATAACTGGCTTCAAGGGGCCCGTAACCCCTGGAATTGCAACATGTGTGTGCATTTTTATTTATTTTTATGAGAGGTCCTATAGATTCTCAAAGGATGCCCAACTTTAAAAACTTTCAGAACAACAGAGCCTGCCCTGCAGGGTCTTGTTTTTGACCCCCTTCTCTGGAAGCAGCAGTGGCCTGAGCTTCTGGTCTGCTTAGGGGCTCATCACCCCAGGCTGTGGGCCAGCTCCCCTCCCTGCAGAGGGGATGGGATCCTCTCAGGGAGGGTGGGATCCTCTCAGCGACTGGGTGTCACCAGACAGCCTCAACCTGAACAAGCTACCTGGTTCCTGCGACTCTGGCCAGTGGGAGCTTCAGACAGCTGCTTGCTTCAGTAAATGTTCATTGAGAAGCCCCTTGAATTGCATGTGTACGCACTCTGCCATTTAATCCTTGTGTTTCAAATAAGACTTCAGGGGTTGCAAGTGACAGAAAGCTTAATTGTAACTGACTTAAACAAAAGGTAAAGTACTGATTCACATAACAATGTAGTGTAGTAGGAGCTTCAGGAATGGCTTGATCCAGATTCAAGTGACTTCGGTAAGATGCATCTCTTGCTTCTGGTAGATGGGCTTTCGTCCTCACATTGGCTGCTGCCCTTGGGGTAACAAAATGGCCAGTTACCTATCACAAGGCCGATGCCCTCCTAGCCAAGGCCAGCGGAGTCTGAGTCCCAGCATTCCTATTCAAAGTGCTCAGGTTCGCCTCTCATTGGACGGCCCAGCCATGAGCCAATCACTGCCAGGTTGCCAGGGGCATGGTAATTAGATTAGGCCACTCAAGTTGCCTCCTCAGGGCTGGGCAGGTCAACCTCAAACCACTGAAAAATGAATAATAGGAGAGGAGTGGTTCCTAAAGGAAATTAGGGGTACTCTTAATCTTCCTGATGGTCCAATGATACCATCTTGGGCTCTTGGGAGCCTTTCCTGGCCCGTGTCTGAAATCAGCCATCTCTCTAAGAAACCTGCTTCCTTTATTTATTTTATTTTATATATATGATTCATTTCAGAGAGGAAAGGAGAGAGAGAGAGAAACATCAATAAGAGAGAGTCTATGATTGGCTGCTTCTTCCACACCCACTACTGGGGATCGAGCCCACAACCCAGGCATGTGCCCTCGACCAGAATAGAACCCAGGACCCTTCAGTCCCCAAACCAGCTAGGGCAGTGGTCGGCAGTGGTCAACAGAGCCAAATATCAACAGTACAACATTGAAATTTCTTTTGAGAGCCAAAAACTGACTTCTGTGCATGGGCCACGAAGTTTCAATGGCACTGTATGTGTGCACCTGCGTGTGGTATTTTGTGGAAGAGCCACACTCAAGGGGCCCAAGAGCCACAGGTGGCTCTCGAGCCACAGTTTGCCCACCAATGAGCTGGAGCAAACCGGCTTCATTTGAATTGTTGACTGTAATCTGGGGGCGTGGAGTGCTCCTTACACTGGGTTCTGTTTTTGCCGAAGGTGAACAACAAACAAGATAAAAATCCCTGCTTTGGATACACACCCAGCCTTCAGAGCCCAAAGAAAGCACTGGCTACAGGCACCTGATTCTGACTGACCAGAGCCGGTCATGTGAGGAGCAGCTTGTCGGGGTGTGTGTGTGTGTGTGTGTGTGTGTGTGTGTGTGAGAATAATACCATCTTATCACTTGAATAGTGTTTGGGACCAAGGAGCCGGCTGGACTGTGGGCACAAGAGCTGGCCACAGAGAGCAGCGTGCGAGGCTGAGAAATGGAGGCAAAGGAAGGAACTTGGGGATAGATTCCCTCCGTTCTTTATTGGGGCAGAAAGGCTAATTTTCTTCCTGGGTATTCTCACACCAAGGCAGGCTTCATGGCTGCCCAGAAGAAAGACTACATTTCCCAGCCTGCCTTGCAGCTAGGTGTGGTCAAGAAACTAAGTTCTGTCGCAGTCAGTTTGGTTCAGTGGGCAGAGCATCCGCCTTCGGACTGAAAAGTCCTGGGTTTAATTCAGCTCAAGGGCACATGCCCAGGTTTGGGGCTCAATCCCCAATAGGGGGCGTGCAGAAGGCAGCCAGTCAATGATTCTTTCTCATTATTGATGTTTCTATCTCTCCTCCCTTCCTCTCTGAAATCAATTAAAAAAATATATATACATACATATATATATATATATATATATATTTTTTTTTTTTAAGAAAAAAACTAAGCCGAAACCGGTTTGGCTCAATGGATAGAGCGTCGGCTTGGGGACTGAAGAGTCCCGGGTTCGATTCCGGTCAAGGGCATGTAAGTTGGTTGCGGGCACATCCCCAGTAGGGGGTGTGCAAGAGGCAGCTGATCGATGACTCTCTCTCTTCGATGTTTCTAGCTCTCTATCTCTCTCCCTTCCTCTCTGTACAAAATCAATAAAATATATTTAAAAAAAATAAAAAATAAAGAAAAAAACTAAGCCGAAACAGGTTTGGCTCAATGGTTAGCGTGTCGGCTTGGCCTCGGACTGAAAGGTCCCAGGTACGATTCTGGTCAAGGGCATGTACCTTGGTTGCGGGCACATCCCCAGTAGGGGGTGTGCAAGAGGCAGCTGATCAATGATTCTCTATCCTCGATGTTTTTAACTCTCTATTCCTCTCTCTTCCTCTCTGTAAAAATTCAATAAAATATATTAAAAAAAAAAAAAGAAAGAATGAATGAATGAAAGAAAAAAAGAAAGAAAGAAACTAACTTCTGGCCAATAGGATTGGTGGGGAAAAAAATTGACTTCCCGCTCTGAGTTTTATCACATATATCAAATGTCTTTCTCATTCCTGTTTTTAACAAATGATAAAAAAATAAAAAAGATCCAGTTCTAGTGTTAAGACTGAATCACATGATCAGAAAAACAATACCAGTTATCATTGTAACATGTTATAGAAAAACCTAAAAAATTATTTAAAAAGCGGTCGAAACTGACAATACGTGCAACACTTAACAGAGTTGGGAGGGTGCTGGGACTCAACTGGTATTTCCCTCCGTGAAAAATGTTTGTGGCTACATGTGCCCACGAATCATCTTCAGATAAATGTAAGAAGTTTTGTCTAAGGTCGGCGCAACTGGTTCTGTATTTAGCAAATGTCGGAGCCAGGCCCCACCCACGCGACTCCCCGGGGGGAGCATGTTTGCCGGCTGGTGAGCTTCGTGAGGAAGTTACCGTTTCTTGCAGCAGCTGCACCAGGCGTCTGGGTAAATGACAATTCCGTCTAGAAACACGCTCTGCTCTGAGCGTAAGTTAGTTTACGGGACTGCCTGTTGTTTCATCAGTCTGTAAGCTCTGCACAGCCTCACTAAGCAACTTCGCACACAGTCAGTAAAGCTCTTATACTACTTGTAGGTGAACCACATAGCTACTTGCAAAACCAAGTTCTACTTTTTAACACCATTGGGTAGC